AGCCTGTTTTAACTGAGCCTGCTGGTCTGGTATTTTACTACTCTGTTTATATCGATCGGATGGTGCTTTGTAATAATTTGGGTCAGCTTAAAACAAACTTTTTAACTTATGCCTGGATTTTGGTTGGTAATTTTATACTAGACTTTTCATGTAAATGGTGGACAAAGGAAGACGCAAAACAACAACAACTTTAGTGTCTCATGTTCATTAAAATCAGCTACAAAACCAGTGACTTTAAAGCGATGCTGCATAAAAGGAATATGGACTGAAACCTTAATCAGTTATAAGCAAACTGTGTCACAGACATTTCATTAAGACCAAAGGAATTTCAGTCCTCATGTGAAACATTGGCATCATCATTCATGTGATCGCTACATATGTGCTTTCAGAAGTTAAGGATACTGCTGATGATGCTGCACATGGTCCAAACTCCAATTCCGATCCGAACCCGATACACAGTCTTGCTGTGGATGTGCGGCTGCATGAAATACGAGAGCGCCGTCTGAAACACGATGTAGAGCGCTCCAACGCCGAATGTCAGCACCGCCCCCACCAGGTGCATGGAGAACAGGGTGGTCTTCTGCTCAGACAGGGAGAAATGGGAGCTCAGCTGAGGGAAAAAACTTCAGGGAATTCACACACTGATCGTGGGACAGCAGAACATACCTGAAAGTTGGCCACCACACACATCCCGAAGGAGCTTATCCAGCCGAGGACCAGCCCTAAGCGGTTCAGCCTTTTGAGTTTGATGTCGTTCTCATCGATTAGAGCCTCCACCTGTTTGTAACGCACGTACACCGTGGCGATGCCTACGAATGTCACACACATGTAGAAGGGACGAAATTAAAAGGTTGTCCATTGGTGTGTAGGTCCCTATCGCCATGAGGAATGAGTTATAGCTTCACCTAAAAAGGCCGACACATCCAGCATGATCCCGAACACGCACCTCTCTGGTGCCATAGTTCCTGTGTCACTGCAAAGAAGACAACCAACAAAGATGATGAATAAAGGCCTTTTATGAATCAGATTGCAAGACTCTAGGAATAAAACAAATCATTAGAATTCTAAATGTGAAAACCACCACTTAAAATGTTATGTTCCATCCTCTGAAGAAATTATAAAAACATATTCCATCACCCATCATCCTGACTCTCAGATTATGATCCTCCAGCTCTGACCTGATGTAAGGCAGCAGAGGATCCACATGTCTCAGTACCACCGCTGTGACGTAGGCGAAGATGAAGGACGCCACTGTCCAAATGACCAAAGCGGCAGGCAGGAAGCAGAGACCCTGCTGAAACCACCACATGTTCCCCTCGCAGCTGATTCTCACCGTCCTGCATGAAACAGTCATTAATAGCAGCCTGCTTTATGATGTGGGCAATGTGGCTCAGAAGGAAGCACAAACCCTTGGAAAAGATAAAAGAGATTATCTGTCCATTGGTCAGTGAACAAGATTTCATTTTCTTATCGCCTTTTTAAGTTAAGAAGTGAGCAGCATCCTGTGGTATGATCTCTGTTAAAATCATTCTGACATTTAGCAAATATATTATTTTGATCATCCTCACTGATCTAAGGCGTACATAAACATTTCAACTGGTCAGTAATGGTGTATTGTATGCCTATTACTAGGGCTGGGCGATAAGACGATACATATCGTACGGACGATAGAAAAGTGTCTATCGTGCTAATTCTATTCTATCGTTTCTATCGTTTCTAACACAATTGTATCTCGTATTCATGCAAATATTTCCCATGGTAGACTACGACAATCGTATTAGTGTAGCCACGTAGCGTTTGCGACATGCTTTACGTTACTTAACTCATGAGAGTTGGAGACGCAGGAGGCTGAAGTATTAAACCTGTGGTCGCAACAAACAGAGACAGCTACGCAGGCAACCCAAGATAAAGAAATTTTACCAAAAAGAGGGGGCACATCTGTGATTTGGTTACATTTTGGATTTAACAAGTCCAACAAGGAGCAGACAACATTTGCAAACTATGCTACAAGACTGTTCCATTACCCGATGGCAACACGACAAACCTCTTCTAATACCCAAAGAAGAACCACAGTAATTTAATTTAAATACCCGTAGGATTTGAAAAAATGTGAAGGATACTGTAGCCATACTTCCACCTTATCTTATGCATATATATTGTTGCACTACAATTTATTTTTCTAATTTGTGACAGTTCTATAAATGTCACTTCAAAATAAAGTTGAAAAAGTAAGCAAACGAACGAAGTATATTATTTTGTCATATTTTTCAGAGATTTGCTGAAAATGTACTCAATTGGAGCATATTGCGATATATATCATTATTGTGATATAAAATAGTCCATATCATGATAAATGATTTTTTTCCATATCGCCCAGCACTACCTATTACACAGTCTTTAGATTACAGATTAAATTAGGATACATTATTTATAAAAAAAAAAAAAACGTTCTTACTTCAGGTAAGAAACAAACAAAAAAACTGTTTGAACAGGCTTCAACTAATATCTAATGAAACATCTAGAGTGAAAATATAACTGAAGATCTTAAAATGCACAGAATTTTTTTTATGACCTTATAAAAAAAAAAGCAACAAAACATATTTTTTTAATTATTAATTTGAGCCTCTAATTCAGTAAACCAGTCAGGTTTCACTTCCTGGTTCTCCTGAAATGAAACGTAGATTAAACGATCATAAAATGTTATTAAAGCTTAGTTATTATAAATAGCGACAATTTAACCAAATACAAAGATATATAAATTCTTTGAAAAAATCAACTTAAATAAAAAAAAAGTTATAAAAAAAATAAACAACTTTGAACAAACTAGCTAAGGAATGCGGATATCGGTTTGTTTCATTTCTTCTTAAGCATAACATTAGGTTTGATGATTTTTATTTTATTTTATACAGGTTTTAATATAAACTACTGACTAAAGTAGTAAAACTTTCATTGTGTGTCACATGTTCATATGAGCTGTAAGACAGCAGCAGGAATAAAAGGTTCCTCTATTCGGTACCATTTAAAGAAAAATAATGAAACTCACGTTATTCCGCTCTTCCAGAGAACATAACCTTCATTTAGGACAACAGCAGCTTGAATAAAGATATCTGAGAGGCATGAACAGGAGCGCAGACTTGTTTACCTGTCTGCACCACTTCTTCTAACGCAAATAATCTGATCAAACTAAAAGCTTCTAAACATTTCACCATCCGCCGCTTCCTCCTTTGATGAGCCGCGCATGCGCACTCCAGCACTTTGCGTTTTATGCCCTGCGTTCTGCCTGCCAGGCACTCTTACGCAAGGGCGTAGGTCTGATTTCAACTTTGTTAGGAACACTGTTGGTCTGATGTCATTGGTCTTATGCAAAACTATGCATGCTGCTCGTTTTTTTATGCTTGACGTGAAAATCAGGGTGTATTTTGTTTAAAGAGAAAAGCAGCATTTCTTGCTACATTTATACAAATTTTATACGCACTACACACACTAGATGCTGTTTATCAATGCCTGAAGCTTAACTGGCTCTGATGAATGTGGAATTATGACTTTTTTCCACTTTGAAAAGGTTGCATTTGAAATTATCAGTGACTGAGACAGTAGGTAAATCTGTGCCTATTTAACAGAATATAGTCTAAATATGTCTGCTCTTTGTGGATTTATACTTTTTTTATTTTGAAGATATAGAATGGTGCAGAGGTAAACAGAAGTAAACCCCACTCTTATCTTTCAAATGTTCCCTTTGTATCAGGAAACAAAGCGAAATAATATATTCTAGGGACGCCAAATAAATGTACGGTATTTACATGTGCATTGGAACTAGAAGAAGAACTGACACTGAGCATTTAATGTATTACCGTCACTGTACAAGTTGTACATCTAGACTATAGTTACTATGTTTAACCCATTTCATGTATTTTATTTAGGGCTGAAACTATTCATCGGATTAATCCATTTTTAAAATAATATCAAATTTAGTAATCAATTTATCGTAAACTGGAATATAGACTAAAACATTACTTTAGCTTACAGAGCGACCCACTTAGAGCAGGAATTATACCAAAATTGTATTAAAAAAATAATACGCATTTAGCATTTTAGAAAAAAACATGTTTTTGTCTGTCAATATTCTCCATCCAGAACTCCTATACTGCTGCAACAACGCTGAATTGTGAATTATAAACATGTTATTCACATCTAATTGTTGACAAATAGGTTGGTCCAAAAGTGTGGTACGGACTTATCCCTATGGTCCCTATGCAAAACTACACCCATGGTGTTATGGAAAAGGATTAAAGCCACTGGAAAAAAAGAGTTAACTGATTTTTGAATTTTATTTAAATTTAATATAGGAAAAAAGTAAAAATTCAGACTTTTTTTTTCTCAGAATTCTGACTTTAATTCTTACTATTTTCCAATATTAAAATTCTAAATATCTGATTTTAGGTTTAAACATTACAAATGCACTTAATATTTATGGTTTACTTTATAGTGTTTCTCCTCTAACTTTGATTTAAAAATCCAGAAATCTTTTAATTTCCACCACTATAGTTTAAAGCTTACTTTACAAATGAGAGAACAAATTTATAATCACTTCACTAAAGCAGTCTTGCATTTTCCATGTAATTCAGCTACATGCAACTGTAATCATGCCGATATATTTCCCCATCCCATTACTTCAATCTTTTAGAATTGAAAAAAAAACAAAAAACTGGTTCATTAATTTCTTAAAATGTAAATAAACTCAAAATCTTCCGTGAGTAGAGGAAAATCCCCAAATAGAGGCAAAAGAGGATGTGATTGAGCTACTAATCATCATGACTTGTCATTTATGACCACATTAAAACAACAAAAAAGAAGTGATGGGAATGTTTTAAGACAAAGAACTGGTTTCTAAAGCCTCGTCATCCTTGAATAATTTTATTGAAAAGAAAAAAGTTAGCCAACAAATCCATAGTGACAACAAATGAATTGAACATTTCCACTGAGACATAATAAAAACCCAGTTTCCAGGTGGGAATATGAAATTTATTTGCATTGTTAGATGAAGCAGAGATTGTCAGGTGATCCAACACACTGTGGTGCACACTGGTGAAATACCTGAGCTTTGCATTCTGGCCAACAGAAGACAAACCTTCCCACAAGCCTCTGGGAGCGCGGACACACAGTGAACACGCTCAATCCAGAAAGGCTTCTTTATACAAAGTAATAGAAAACAAATGAGTTCATTAAGGCATTTTTTTTTTTACTTCACAGATGAGAGTGGACCTGATGTCAGGAACTATAAGCATACAAGCTGCAGCAATGACGGTCGACCTCACAGTCTCGTTAGGAAATGTTGATCAGCTGAGTTTCCAGGTAGAAGTCATACAAAGCCTCTTCAAATACAAACTGTACAGTGGAATACTACGACATGCAGATTAAGGAATCAGCTCATTCCTCATAGAACACTGAGAACAGAAGACGGACTGAAAATGACAGACCTCTTAAATGCATCTTGTATTTCATACCAAAGCCACAATGTGGGGCCCTCAGCTTTGTCTTGATGACCTAGATCACCCCAATCCCTCCAGATTGTTAGTTTAATAAAGTTCAAAGTGTTGGATATCCCAACATCCTGAAATATCAAATGGAGCCACATTTAGTTTGGAGTCAAACAAAGCTTTGAAAATCATAATTGCTAAATATTCAGTCACAGTGATTTTGATATAAAAACATTTCTTTCATCAGCTGATTTATAAAGTGGAGGTTTTTGGAAAGTATAGCGCTAAAACTTCAGACTACTGAAGTAATTTCCCTTCTGATTCATTTTTAATCTTGTTCTAATGGGATCATCCACAAATCTAATTATTATTTACACTCCAAAAAGATTTCATTTTATTAAAAACAACTTTATTTTCCTTAGTTCCAAAATTACTTCTCTACAAAATTTTCTAATAAATTCCAAAACTTTAGTTTTAAGCTGCATTTTTTGAAGTTTTCAAACAACCAGAGATTGGAGCCATCTAACAATTAAACATCCTTCTTAATTTACATGTTCCTTTTCAGATAATCATGTTTTACCAATTATTTCTTCAAACCACATGTGATCTGGGTGAACCAGGCCTTTAACAATCATGCAAAGATATATTCTGATATCTGGATTACTACCACCACCATCCAAAAAAAAGAAAAAAAAGAAAAAGGAAATTGAGAAACGAAACTTTGACTCAAGACTTGGCATTACAGATGTAGATGCATAGAAACAGACTCTGGAAAAGAAACTTAAACACTAACAGGCACAAAATGCATAAGCAAGGATCTATGCATGAATCCAGATCATCACTGTGGACTCACTCCAGAAGCAGCCATCTTTAACGCATCGCCAGTATAAGGTGAACGCGCAGCAGTAGCGGCTCCGCGCAGAATAAACTAGGTTTTATTAAACCCAATCAGACTCTCATCAGTCATTACAATAAAAAAAAAAACATGAGCCTGTTAATTCACCTCATCTCCTGCGCACTCATTCACATGTGCACCTGTTCTGCTGCAGCAGATATGTGTTTAGAGGGGAAACGGTAAGATCGTACTGATCGCAGGAGGACTCGGATTATTTCTTATCCATAAATCCCATGAAAAGACAGAAAAAAAGGAACAAATGAGTCATTTTTTTCAAAACAAAGACAACTTGGTGGCGTTACAGTTGAGCCATTTGCATTATATACTATAAACACTCATGTATTAATCCCCATATACATCTGAATCTAAGAAAAAAACATTATAAAGAATAAAGTGTAAAACATAGGAGCAAGCAGCTTAGAAAATTAGATACATTTTCATTAAAGTAATATAATGTACCACACATACCGTTACAAACTCAAGAGGTGCAAACATCGAGCAGGCGATAAAAGTGAGACACGTGCAGGTGTGATTTGGTCTTTTCTTGGGTATTTTTTTTTTTTGTGGGAGGAAAGTGACAGTAAACTAAACCCAAACAAGATTTGTTCCATTTCTGATTTGGTTATCAACAGCTCAAAATGTCCAAAATGATTCGCACTAGTTTGTTGTTGAGATTAAAAGGCCACTAATATTCTGTCAAGCCCCTCATTCGTTCTGCCAGAACTACAAATGCCACTAAAAAGATCTTCAACTCAACTGTTTTTTTTCAGCAGAAGAAATAAAAACCTCCCCCATGGTTTTCAAACTTTGTGAAAATAATTTTTGTAACCTCACTCTCTCCAAAATTAAACCATAAATGTAAAGATAACCAACCTTAAAGTGTATAAAAGTAACAAGAAAAGTCAAGTTTAACTAAGAAAGGACTGGCAGTGAATATTTTTGCAGTACAAAAAAAACCCAAACTACTAAGATATAGAATAAAGCTGCTGCTGTTTCCTCCACAAACATATTTTGCTGATTCAAAATAGCAGCACAGTTTTGATTCATGTGCAGAAGATGAAGTCGCTTTAAAAAACAAAACTCTTATATGAAGAATGTGTCGGAGCAGAAGTTTTAACTTAAGAGAAGCACAGACGCTGTAACGCTTTCCTATTTACAATAGCAAAAGTTAAAGTTAGGCAGATATTACAAAAATCCTTATGAAAAGCAAAAAACCTTGATTCATTCCTTAAATGATTTGTTGAACTTATACAGTTAAAACACATGTAAGTTTCTTTCATTGGACACCGAGTAGCACCTGTACTCTTCTGAAACATTTGCCCTCTGTAACCATCAATTTGCCAGAAATTCAATTCTGCAAAAGAAACAAGTGACAGTAATATTCCAGTATCTTAACATATATTATTTTGTCCTCACACTCAGTTGGCAGAAGCACATACTTTAAACCACGTCGACTCCTGCCTCTGTAGGAGGAAAACGGAGGGAGGAGAAGATGAGTGTGACTAAGTGGAAGGAACAGAGTCAGTAATGGCCGGCGTGCCCTCAGTGATTAGCTGAACTGGGGATCGAGCAAGGCTTGATTTTGAAGACAAAAATGCGAAGATGGCAGGCAATCTGGTTGCAAACACTGACACAGTAGCGCACCAGGTCAAAGAAGGAAATGATCTGCAAAACACAGGAAAATGGTCACTTTTTCCAAGGGTGAAAAGGCAACAAGAGAACATCTGAGGAGAAACTTCTAACAGATCATTAATTTAAAAATGCTTTAAATCTTTATCAAACTATTTTAAAAGTTTGCTAAATCTTCACAAAAATCATATACAGAACTGAGTTATGATAGAGATGTGGGGATAAAAAACATTTACAAGACTAAGGGGAAAGAAAAGTAAACTGCTAGTGTTCCAAAGTGATGAGAGATGATACAGCGGTGGTCTCTGTAACAATGAAAGTTTTGGAAGTTTTCTGGTTACAACTGTGTTATAACAAAATATTATAGAGGAAGAAAAAAAAGGGGAAACTGTTGCTGCCCAGCAATCTGAGATTAGTTATAAGGCCAAACCTTTGAATTTACTGAGTTTGAAATGATTTAGTCGGTTTACCCATGTTAAGAATGAAGTATCAGAATGAATATCAGTATTTCTAGAACAATGTCTTCTACATACAAGAGCAGTGCAGAGATTTGTCATCCAACTTTGAAAACTTTTGAAGAAAATACATCTAATATAAACTATAAAAACACTCTTTAGAACAAAGACTGGCTTCATTACTCGAACACTAGGGCTCTGCAATAGTTCCCAAATATACTATTTATTAATTTGTAAAGATTTCTAGGTATTTTGAAAGTTTATTCTTACGAGTACAATTATATTTTTGGCAGACTGAAACGTAATTTTTGCTCGCAAAAATGTAATTTAGGATGTCTATATGTACATTTCTGACTTGTACGAATGTAGTTTTGACTAGGAATTATCTTATTTTAGAGATCAACAAAGGGAACAATAGAGAGGACAGCTCTTGTAATAAATGTCAAAATGGCCTGCCGTAGGGCTCGTCTACAGCTGCATTTCACCTCCTATTATTAATAGTCTCTAGATAATAATAAATTCTTACATTTTTCAGTTATTGTGGGAATAATAGTTAACATAGTCAGATAAACACAAATCAAATGAACATTTTGCAAAGTGAGGGCTGCTGCTGACGGGCTAGGATTAGACCTGGCTTTTTTAATTTTTTTTATTACGTATTATATCAGTACATGGGCAATATTGTAAGGCTTAAAAGTATAATGTTTTCGCCTCAAATTATCTTACAATGCACTTTTATTGAATTGAGTAGCGCTCCACTGGAAGGTGCTGTTGCTGCAGTGCATGCTGGGACAGCTGTCAATCTCAGAAAGCACAGGTCTGCTCTGATGCATACTCAGTAAATAGGGAGGGGCAAGAACAACATCAGGGGACTTTATCCGTTCTCGGTCTGCTGTTCTTGTGAATTGGAACAGTACTAGGTTTGAGGTTGATGATGTTTCACAAGCACATGAGAACGCATAAGTACACATATTGAGAAACGGCCATCGTTGGGAACAGTTGTAACAGAAACAAGAGCTTCCCAAAGATTCCTAGTTCCACACTGAATGTGTAATAGCTGGCACAGGGGGAATGCACGTGTCGTCTTGGCTTTCTAAGTTCTACAAAGCGTTTATTGCATATCTGTAACAAAGGGCGTGAAGGGGTTAAATGCTGAGTCCCATAAACTTGTTTTTATATCTTATCATTCTGAGGAGCTTCCTTTGAGCTAATGACTCGTCATGGTTGAAGGGGATTTAAAATGTTTAGGAGCGGCAATCAATTAGGAGTCTAAAAATATCAACAATTAAACATTGTACAAAAATAAAACCAAACTTCTTATAAAATAGATGTTTATATTTAATGCCAACAGTATTTGAGCTTTTTAATGTTGAGATAAATCACCCAGTATCCAAGTACTTACCAGTGCAATCCAGAGTACCAGGTACTCATCGATAAAACTATTGAAATACTGATCAAGAAACAGTAATCCCGGCCCCAGAAAGGCTAAGTCATGGAGATGCATCTCACTTTTTGTCATATGTGCTACCTGTGAAATGAATAATAAGCAGATGAGATTAAAAAGAAAAGGAAATTGATACTGTAATCACTGAAGAGAAAAAACAATTAAATATCCATGGAAATAATAATAATTTTTTAAAAACAACAACATTAAAACATTCTCCAGGAAGTTTTATTAATAAATCTTGCAGCACATCTTTGTTACCCCTATTGGACATGAGAACATAATGTTCATTTTTATTAATAATATAGGTTTTTGATTTATAAAGTCAGAGTCTGTCTGCTCAAACCCCAGCCGGCCTCAACAGATGGCCGCTCACACTAAAGGAGTTTTTCCTCTCCACTGTCTCTACAAGCATGCTTGGTGAAGAGTCAATGAGTCGATGCAATCTGCAGGTTTTCCTTAGATAGAGAACTTTCAACCAATCTGACTCTATGAGTTGGTTGAAATGTAAAGTGCCTTGAGATGATATGTGTTGTGAATTTGGCGCCATATAAATAGACTGAATTTAATTGAATAATTTCCTATCTGTTTACCAAATCCCATCTACCAACAATTAATGCTGATAGCATGAAGTTTAGAAGGTATACAATTGACCAAAGTTTTAAGGTTTTGCACTCTGGTGCTGTCCATCTGGATACTGAATACTGAGCAGAAATAATGATGTGTCTAATGTGACCTGATTAGAGTTCTTAGTAAACTTTCTAAATGGCTTGTGAACAAAAAGCTATTAAGCTCAAATAACTGGGGAGTCTGGGAGTATGTCTAAATCCCCTTTTTTCATTAGCAACCTTTCAGAGTGAAACATTTAGCTGTGCTGGTATTGCCTCCTTCTACATAAAGGTGTTAAAAGACTGAACTCTTCCCAGTATAAATAAATGAACGATCCCTTTGGACAAATTAATATGATGGACACTAAGGTCAGACATTTAAACACAAGATGAGGTAGATCCCATTTCCTGAAGAAAAGCTCCCTCTAGAGGATGAAGCCGTCTATCACTGTTTTTTTTTTCCCCCATGCACATTAACATAAAAACAGAGAAAAAAAATATGATGATGACTTACTACTAATTTGTTTGTGATTTTGGCCGACACAAAGCCAAATGCCAAGATATAGAGACATGGGTGTTTCTCGAAAAGCTGGACTGCAGACTTTTTGTATATCATCATCGCCAGAACTATAACTGAACCAATATGTAGGACAGGAGAGAGGACGCTGGTTCCCTGGGAACAAAGGACAAAAACAGGGTGAGGAAAACATGCATGGGAGTCCTAATAATCAATATTTGATCAATATACACAATATTGTCTCCCGATCTAGAAAAGCTAATTTCTTTATTATTTAGCTGCCAGGTTTATTTCTTTGATGCATCACTTTGCCCTTACCTCAGGATTAAACCAGGGGTTGGGGAGGATGAGGATAACCAGCCTTGCTAATGTTCATTACAGTAAAATGTGCCCCCTGCCTTTAACCAAAGAGCAGTAAACAGCTTCCAGCACCAGGATGCAATCTGAACCAGAGATGATATCTGCTGGGTTTCGACTCGGTATTATAGTCTCAGAACAGAAGTGTCCTCCTCTAACCACTAGGCTACCATTTCCATATAGCCTGGTGCTTTGGAGCCAAATGATGAGCCAGCTGGCACCACCAGGGCCTGCATGCTCAGTAGGGCTGGGTAAAAAAAAAAATCAATTTAATCGATTTTGAATCGATTTCTTTACATTTTTGCAAAATCGATGTCTAGGGAATGAGATTGATTAGATTTATAGTGACGCATGTGACGTTCCCATTCAAATGAGCTGGAAAGATTCACTCAAGATGACTTCAAGACAGACAGCTGCAAATATAGCCAATAGGTTGACTGAAGACATTAACAAATGGGGGCTGACCAGCAAACACTCTTGTTACAGACAATGCTGCAAATATGGTTTTTGCATTGAAGATAATGCAGCTCATGCATGTCTGCTGTGTCACGTCTGCTCGCTCGAGTGATGCTTCACTTTTTCACGAACAAGTTTGCATTTTTGAGACAGTTTTGTTCACATCTCAAGTTTACGCTGTCTGATTTACAAGTGTGCACTTTGTGTTTAATATGACAGGAAAAAATGAAATAGATGAGTATTTTGAAACACAGTTTAACCACTTTCATTATTGTAAAAATAGATCGAATCGAAATTAATCGATTTAGAACTGTATCAATCAAAATCGAATTGATTAAAGACTTTGGCTAAAATACCCAGCCCTAATGCTCAGATGAGGGTAGTAACTAGTTACTTTTATCCAGGTAATTTTTAGTCTACTTACAGTAATAGCCATTCAAAATTTCTCCACTTTCCTTGATGGGTCCTTGGCCGGTCCCCTACAATTCCTTTTTAAAAATCAATCTTTGTACTAAAATATTCTTCCTGTCAGTATTTGTGAACATTAAGATCTAAAGAGAAGTGTTATCTCCTGGTAAGACCCTGTAATTCAGTGAAAGGGTGCAGTCAGAGTAAAAAATATGCACCCCCAGGAGAAGGTCAGAGGCTGGAAGTTGAAGGGGATTTTGCTGGGAGCTGCAGGAAAGTGGGCTGCCATTCGGCTGGTGTTTGACTTGGAAGGGTAATTTTGAATGGTTGCTACTGTATAGGAGTAGTTGTACTTTACCATGTTTTTTACCTTTATGTATCATGCTTGTGGGAGTCTCTCGAGTCTTACTTGAATAAACCTTCTGGTTAATCTTCCCACTAACTTGAACTTTTCACAGATCAGGTGAAAATACAGAAACATAAGATATTTCTGCTGAAAGTTCCTAATTCTACCGAGACATATGCATTACCTATTGTATAGACTGATTTTATGATAAAATTATTTTAGAAAGATTTTTGTTTTAATTTTCCCAAATTTAGTATTTTGTAATTATGTTATCCATTTTTATTTTGTTTTATTTTATTATTTAAAATTCAATTAACAAAGAACTCTCCATCTGATTACATTTTAAACATTAAATAAAAGATCTTACAATTCAACAATTCCTCATCACTTTAGTCGCCAAGTAGATTTTTTATAGTAGTGGAGCTACTCTTCTCTTTCTGTTTAAGCCTTTCAACAGATGTGCTCCATTCTATTAGTCAAACCAGCTCAACCACATGTGGCATCTGGTTCCGTCAGCTCAGTAAACCCACTCGCAAACCAGGAGATGATGAAACTTCTTCACTTCAGCTTCTAACTATGAAATGCTTTGCTAATATCTTAACCAGCCATTTTAAAACTACCATTTCTATCAGTCTTATAAACTGTTATAATATGTTAACCTTGTTCGATTTCACAAAGCAAATTATATGATTACAACCATGATAAAATGCCATTTTTATGAGATAAAAACAAACTGATGAAGACGTAGTTTATGCACGCATTTGAATAGGAAGCAGATGAGATCGGATTACAAGGGGGGGCATGCACGAAATGGAAATAAAGACACCAGCTTAGCGCTGCACTGACATTAAACTGGAAAAATTATATCAAATATACTCTTTATACACATATTTACAATAATAACAAATCATGCAAGTCCATAAATACATCAAAATGTATAAGTCTGACACAAAATATAAATGACAAGGTTGAAGGTTTCTATACTTACAGCTATTGTGGATCCATTTTTACCAACACCTCCAGTAAAAATAACTCTGAAGTAATTTGTGCAGGAGAAGACGGCTCCTAGTAAAGTGCAGATGGCTGGAATCATTTTCATCTGGATATTTAGGACAGGAATCTGGTAATCAAGAGGTTCACACAGTGAACTTAGTAACGCTTGGATTCTGAAACAACCAGATTAAAACCAATAGTGGTGATGTTATAAAGCACATTCCCAATGAAGGCCTGAAGAGTAATGTTAGAGGGGGATAAAAGCTCTACGAGGGTTTGTTCTTTTATTAAAGAATAAAACAGTCAAAACAACAATGTTAGAGCAGCATTACATTTCTATTATAATTATCAAGAGATTACCACAAACTTATTGCATCATATCTATCATGTCAATTGGTTGGAATTAGAACCATTCAAAATTACCAGTGACTGCCAAAAAGCAGATCCTCCCACGGCGGCCAGCAAATACATGATTATAATGAAGATTTGCACCTCAGTCACATCAATGCTGAGTGGGAGGAGAAAGCAGAGAATTTTAAGTAACGTTTAGTAAAAGTCGTCCAGCACATCAAATTTCTGCAACCTTCCTCCACAACACATTACTGCACATGGAGCCGGCGGTTTGATTTATTAACTTTAACTGTTTTTCAACAAGTGGACAAGAAAAATGTGAATTCAATGTGACTCCATGCAGGACAGCGGCTATTGTGGAGGCAGACAGCAGTGAGCCATGCAGGCAGCAGCCAGGAAGTTTACCATCACGTTCCACAGGGAGGGACCCACAGTGGCTGTGAACATCTGTAATCCTGCTAGACAGAGCTGCACCTCTGTTATGTCAAATCTACACACAGGACACATCACATTTACTCCACCTTAACCACACACCTCACTGCTATCAGCTGATGAAAGGATTAATAGCAGTATTACTGGGTGATCATTGTTTAGATAACTTTTTAAAGCGCCTCGGATAAAGCGGTTACTAACTAACTTGTTCCAAGATTGTTTCGTGTCTTTTCTCTATAAAATAAAGGTCCCCTTTTCATTATGCAGAGCTTGAACAAATTAACTTTTGGCAAATTTTCAATCACATAATCAGCTTTAATGTTCTAAAAACGAATAAAAATCCGAGAATGAGCAGCAAACAAAGAAAAGGTCAAGAGAATAGAAAACACTATTCAGGGTTTGATTCTTTAGCAATTCACCAAGAAGCTTGGAAGCAAACACAGTTTTAATTTCCAAAAAAAAAAAAAAAGATTTACAGCTTCAGCCCTTTTGTTATTGAATCCTTTTCACCCTGAACCTCAGCTCAAATGAGATACAAATGTGTAAAACTTCACAGAAAAAGATAAACTGTTGAAAGTACAGCAGTGAGCTATAGTTACATCTTGTTACCTACCCATCATGCTGTTGCTTCAAAGAGTATAGAGAAAAAATATTATGGCCAAGACAGGTGAAAAAATGCCAATAATGATACATTCTATATGAATTTCTCCACATGTTTTAGTTTCTCTTAACTACTAAACCTCATCTGATTATTAAAAGCTATTTATTTTTAATTCTGTTTAGCTCATTTAGTCATAATGCATCTGAAAAATACAAAACTTTTCTAAAGAACAAACAAGCTTGTGTGTCATATTGACGTGTATCTAAAGGCTGATCTGAAAACAGCAGTAAATCAGTATGACTGAAGGTCAGACTGAGACAAAACACATTTGTTCTCTTGACTCACATGCCAAAGCGCAGCGTTCCTGACACGTATGTCTGCCAGTGGGCGCAGTAGAACATAAACATCCCAGCGAAGCAGCAGAAAAACATCCAGTCTGGGTTGGTGCCCAGCTGCACTGCTATACTGGTTCCCAGTACGACAAACACTGCAAAGAGGATAAAAGACACTATTGACATGATCATGACATTCAAGGTGGGACTTATTGCACACAGCTGCTGTATTTCTACAATTCGCAGAGAGTGAATCGCTGTTACAATCAGACTGAGGTGCTGATTTAAAGGGAGCCAGATATCAATCTAACCCACCTGTAGAGAGGGAGTCACAGCCGTGGTCAAACAGCTCGCCCAGGGGAGAGCTACTATTGGTGCGTCTGGCCTGTTTTCCATCAATGGCGTCCAATGACTGGTAGATAAAAAGACCCACTGCACAAAATAGGTACGCCCAGAGAGGAGCCTGGGGCGACAACCACAGAAAACTTATAAACAAAACGAATATTTCCTATCACACTTAGTACTGACATTCCTAATTACTGTAAAACCAAAGAAAAGCAAAGAACATGCAGCGTAATATGCAGGGAAAAAAAAGAACATAGGAAGATGAGAGGACAGATATGAATATGTTAAAGCATCCTTAATACTGGGCTGACAGTAGGATCGGATGCAAAGGTTCGTCCTGCAACAGGAGGGTCGCTGGTTTAAGCACGGCAGCCTTACTTCTGTCAGTGAGCCCCAGGGCAGCTGAGGCTACGATTTAACAGGAATTAGTGAATATGGTTTAAAGGCGTTTCGAATCCTCTGACTCTGTTTAAGTTAATGACTTTTACTTTTCCATTGATGTATAGTCAGAGCATGCACCTAAAGCACCTGAGCATGGACTTTAGGCATAGTGGATTAAAAGTTATCAGAATCATTTTTCGACATTGAAAAATGTGGACATGGTCAAAATCTGACCACTTTTACCCGATGTAATACAACATCCAACTGCCATGCACGTGGGCAATGGTGAAATCTTGAATCATTGTTGTTGACTGCAGTTGTGTCTAGTAGTTCCCATGAATTTTGCATGTAAAGCAGGGAGAATGGTGCTAGGCTTATGGCCCCCTGAAGTCACTCCATCACTGATTAACACCAAATTCATTAAATCACAAGGAATGCGTTCGTTTAAGGTATAAACAATGACCCATTGGTTATTCATTGCTGACCAGACTTTTCCTTTAATGCCAAAGCTGTGTCAGCAAATAAACAACCTTGGGGTGGGGTTTTTGTTTTCTGACATTTCTGAGTCAAAAGAAGCTTTTTCACTTTTTGCCTCATTTAATCAACTAATGATTTACAGTAGTTGCCTATAACCTAGAAGAGCCATAACAATGATGAAGAACCCACACAGTAGGCCTGCAATTGTTAATTCGACTGAAGAGGTTTTTGCTACTGATCTTCCAATAAGGCTGCTGGGAGGAAGATTTATTTTATAATAGGTCTTATCTTTAGAGTAGCGTTTGTTTTTCTGAGGTTTTGACTATGCCTAGTTATATTTACATCAAAAGGATTGGATTGTTTTTAAATACCTTTAGATCAATTCATCAAAATCTTATTAAAAAAATAAAAACACTAAAATTTGAAGACTTAACATTTATGGCCTTATGTCCATCTGTGCACAACCATGGACATGTGACTGATCGAATAAAATGACTCATCTTTCAGCAACCCAACCCACTACTACAAAATACACTACTGTATTTTGCAAATATTCAGAAGAAAACACAGCAATTTCTGTTTTTTTTTCCATCTGTAAAATAATGTTGGAATTCAAATATTTTTGCTCTCAGTCAATTTAACGATAAAACCTTAATCACGGTTTACACAGGAATGAGTAACCCTAATTTAATGCTTTTTAATGCTCATACAACATTTTTAGTGCCATCAACAAGTACACATGACTCTCATATATGTATGTATGCATGCATGTGTAAATATATATACACACACACACACACATATGTAAAAGATGACAAAATCCTTTGTCATCTTTACCTTCGACAGGCTCTAGCCATGTCCCGTATTCCTCCTTTTCCAGTCAATTTTGTGGAAATTTGTAGTTTCCCATTCTCTAGTCTTTTCTCTGCCTCAAGCTTCTTTTCCAAACATACGGCTTTACGATCAACCAGAACCAGTTATATCTGATATATCTGACAAAATTGTTTTTATAAATGTATTTTTTTTTAAATAAAACCTTTTAAATGCCACAAAAATGACATTTAATGAATTTTAAAACCAATTAAGGCCTTAATTTGAAAAATAATAATGTAATGATTTTTAATGACCCACAGAAACCCTGTTAATAAACTTGAATGATGTAATTTTATCTTTGCATCCTTTTTTTACATTTACATTCTCTTCAGATGTTTTCTAATGGCAGCTTCCAGAAATATTTAGGTAGAAATAATAGTGCATTTGTATAAAGGTATTTTTTTTAACCAACCTGCTCAGTGGCAGTTGGGCAGTAGTAGACAAGCACCAGGGTGGTGAAGACATTGGTGGCGAGGCCAATGATGGTGATGAGGTTGGGGGCAATCCAGGAAGGGACCTGTCCAACCAACCATTCCCAGTACCGCTGCATCAGAGGCTCCAGTAGCGAGCGGCCAGCACTGCTGTACCTGCAGGGATGGAAAACAACCACGTGAGGCCCTGGAGATTCCATAAACTAGAACCAGGTGTATCGGTTTGAAATGATTAAATTACCATTCCTACAAATAAACAGAGCTATATAGAGATGCTAATAGGAGACTATTGATTCTGATCAATATTGGGACAATTTCTTACAAAAAATAAGACCTACTTTGCAATTCAGTACATTGATGTCACAGACTTTTACACTTGGAAAAGAGGCATTTTACTGATAAATATAAACCTCATCCACTTGTATCTTACCTTTTAGGAAATTGCGCTGCTTAAAATTTTGTAATCGATCAACAATTCTACAACAACCCATTGCAAAATAAGTCCAGTATTAGGTGTGGAGAAAGTGCAAAAATCATGACATATGTAAGACCAGAATAACCTGATCTACAAATAGAAATACAGATGTTAAACCAGAGCTTAACATAAATGAACTGCACTCTTAGTTAAAGGCTCCTTTTTAAATCACACTGGAGAAAACGCAACACATGAAAACTCACCAAGTACCAGAGAACAATAAGGTTGGTTTTCTCAAACTGAATGGCTCACAATCTCCTGGGATTCAGCATCAATCTATCACTAATGTTTTATAAAGTAAAATGTTTGTCAAAACAACCTGAACTTCTTTAGCTGCAATTGGTCGATATCGCCAAAAAGAGATTGGTCAGGCAATGTATGAGTCTTAACTCTAATTAAAAACAAAGTACTTGCCAAATCACCACTCCCTTTTATAGACTTGATATTCACTTTGCTTTGTTCAGAAAAGCAATTTCTAAAATGTACTAACTACAAACCTAAATTCTATTGCACGACTAATATGCAAAGTTTTGTCATTAGGGTAGATTTGAATCTTTAAGATAAATAGCAAAAAAAACCACTAATAATTGATTCTATTTTGCATTTCTGAAAAAAATATTCTAAATAAAAGTATCCCTGGTAATAGCCAAGGAATGTGTAAAACAGAATTTTTGAAGACTGCTAGATTTTTAATTTAGTTATAAAATAAACACTACCGTGTAAGGCAGGTAATTCAGGATGCAGGTTATTGTGTCCAAACTTAGTCCTGATTTAACACAATTGACCAAAAGGCCTCTGCAGAACATAATGATATACAGACAACATTAGTCATTTGAATCAGATGTGTTGGAGCACAGACACGTAAGAGACATAAGAGGCACTAGCTCACAAGGACAGTAGTTAGATACTCCAGACGGCGTGTTTACCTATGCTCCTCCAGTCTCTTCAGCTGGTGCTGAGACAGAGGAGGAGACGGAAGTTCGATGAGCCTTCGCAGTACACCAGGAGAAAGCCAGCACGCCGCCTCCATGCCCATGCCGTGCCCCACGTCCTTGTCCCGGCGAGAACGCAGCCCCCCTCCTTGCTGCTGCCCCGTTGTGCTCATGGAGCTCTGGAGGTCTGATCCCTGAAGGCTCTGCCTCTGCCACTGTCCTTCCCGGAGAGCTAAAGATCCACAATATGGCTGGATAAACACTGAGGAGAATCAACCAAAATTTTCCTGTAAAAAATGTTCCAAGCATAATGATTATTTCTTCTTATGATTATAACTTTACAAAGATATTCTGGCATTTGTCTTTCCTAAATAACCCAGATACTCCATCTTTAAAGAAATGTGTTGATTTCCTTTATGTCACTAAATAAATATTTACACAGGAAACAAAAAAATGCAAATAAAATAAGCCATGTAGTCAGGGAGTCTCAATGTTTTTCACATAGACCATCAGGGTTTGTACACAGAAATGTCAAGTAACCTGTTGATAAATGATACTGATAACAGTTTACAGACCTCAGCCATCAGGATGAAATAATCACAGTAATAAATGTACTATGGTTTAGCTTTTATGTCAATATCCTCAGTGCTGCAGAGACACATGTAAAGTAAATGAACTATAATAACCCCACATTTTACTGTTACATAGAAATGTCATCTTAGACAGCAGGGCAACGGGACCCCATATAATCCCGTCTCATATCTCTGTCACTGATCAATCAAGTCAGCATGGAAAATCTAAACAAGTCAAAACACATAGTGTCGTGTTGCCCTCTACTATTACATTTAACACTACTTATATCACATTTATTAAGATTTACCGACTAGGCTATTAATCCCTGTACAAACCGATGGCACTATACATACTGAGTGCATCTGCGATTCTAGAACAACATCTATCAGCAACTTACGAACTGCTGATAGATCTTCGACAGCAAACAAACATGTTCTTGAGTAGCATGTTTGCTGTTAGCTTTCTTCAAACGGACCAAATGCAACAAAATAAAAATTACCTCGAACGGTTAACTCGATTTGGCCTTTTTTACTACACGAACATAGAAATTAAATAAACAAAAATAGCATAAGAGTTTTGAAAATAAGAAAGTGGTGTTGACTTCATGGAGGTTTGGCTAACTTGTCTAGCCAAGCAAATCCTGCTAACATAAGCTAACACCGACTGACCTGCCGATAAAAGGACGAAAGCCACGGATAGTCCGAGGGTCAGATATGGAGCTTGGTTCCGACAGCAACGCTTTTCTTTCAGTGTCCGCTTTTATTTGTCGTTTATGATTTAGAGAAACCAGAGCAGCGGCAGCGGCTGTAGGGAAATGACTACGACCCGGTGTTCCAGCACCTACTTGACTCAGTGTGCTAATTATCGTTAGCTGTCACGGAAATCTCGCGAGGTTTACATCAGTCACGAGGATCTCCCAGGCAACCACACAGAGACGCACTCTTGACGCTCATTTTGTAATAATAAAATTTTAATAATAATAATAAAATAAAATTTTTAATAATCATAATAATAACAGAAGGCCCAATTATTCAAAATATTGTGACAAAGGACTTACAGATTCATCATGTTAAATATTAAAGAATAGATGCATTGTTTTTTTTTTTTTTTTTGCTATTTCAACATCTGCAGACATTTAGGCCTAACAACTGGAAAACTCTTTAACTGCAGCCATAAAGGCAGCAATGAAATTAACAGTAAATTATAGGGAAATGAAATGGCAGCTAAATGTTTATATAAAAAGTTTTTTTTTTTTAAATCTTATTTTAGATTAAGTTGCAATAGTTTTAACGGAAACAAAAATAATTTTGGAGCATTGCAATTTTTACAAATTCGTGTTCATAGAGGCCACATTAGTAGCAATACTACAACTTACACATTTAAAGACCATGTTGTGAGGTAAATGTTATTATATATTGAAAAAATAACAACTGAATATGCAAATGACTTAATCCCTTAACATATGTTTAATATGGCTATTTACATGAACTTCACAACAGTTGCCAGTATTCTAAGAACATTTTGCACTTGCAAAGAAATGAGCACAAATTATTCCACAAACCATGTTGTATGATATAAACTGGAATGAGAGAAGAAATCTTAATCAACACACCTACTAAAATGTATTTCATACCAGAGAAAAAAAAAAGCTGCTTTTCAGACATCTCATCAATGATTAGCTCATACAGTAAGTGATTTTGACCAATTCTTCCACAAACCTTTACATTCTGGTCTCATCTGTCAGATAACACCTAGAAAAACTTGAATATACTTTCTTTATTTTTATTTTTTGATTATTGAACTGAGTGGAAATGTTATGTAAAGAAATTACTTATAAGTATTCTCTTAAACACTTTATCACAAAACACAAAGTCCATCAACACTTATTAAAAGCTGTCAGAAACAAATCAGATGATGCAGCATCAGGGATACCTTCAATACCTTTTAATTTAGCAAGATAATGTTGATTTAAAGAAAACTCACTGCAATGCTGCTTGAAGCAGCATGTTTAATTTATTTCATAAATGTAACATGCCTCATTAATAAAAAGAAATAACAGGAATCCCTGAATAGGCTTAAAGGTTTTCTTTAAGTACATAACAAATTCACCTTTGCCATCCTAACAGAATGCAGCTCAAAGGTGTGATGTATATAACATTCTCAACATGTGTATGAGAATCATTTCTATATTTGCCTACATTACTTGAAATATTGATACTTTGTATTTTAAAGTAATGTGAGAAGTAACAATTATTTTGCAGTTTAAACCCAAGACTTGAGTAATATATCAAAGCTGTCTATTTCACAAGAAAAACATTTAAAAAACAAAGACCCACGGTTCTGGATTGATTTCCTTTAAAGCACAATTTTTTTGGCAGTGTTCTATTTTCATGAGAATGTGTTAAGAACAATCTTTATAAAGTTAGTGATGAGATAGAGCTTAAAACCCTGCTTTTAAGGTCGAAACAGATAAACTTACCAACCTAGATAGGGAACATGTAGGTTGGCTGGCTTCGCCTACCTCACTAACAAGTACCAGACAGGAAAGAAAATTCCCCCGGCATGTTTTTTTTATTATTATGAAAATAAGACATATTAAATTCTGCAATTATTGTTTCAGCATTTTTTGTTTTATTTATTAATTTTTTTAATCTTTTTTTTTCCTACTTGCTTTGATTCTGTTTTATTTTCTCATATTTTAATCACGTAAAGCACTTTGCATTGTCTTTGTATTGAATTGTGCTATACAAATAAATTTGCCGTGCCTTGCCTTACTACTGCTGTGATTTTATTATACCTGATTCTACTATTATTATTTTTATATGTATCTTTATGGGGCGCATAAATCAATGATTCTTTTTTTAACATATGTGTAGTACTTTTATTTCTAGTTGTTACCACAGATAAAACTAATAAGAAAAATGAGAAAAATTTTACCTTTAGTTTTTATACCATGAAAGGAAAGTGTAGCATAGATACAAGGACATTCTAACTCGTTTATAATAAAACCTGTATATGGACAGTCCCTGTTAACTACTAAGCAAACAGTACAAAACAAAAAAAGGAATTAAACTTTTAAGGCTAGGCCTTCACTAATAAACAAAATATGCACGTTATCCTTAAATGTATTTACTTGAGACATCTGTGATGTTGAATGCAAATATTGGCACCACAGAAGCTATAATTCTTTTCAAAGACAAGAACATGAAACGTTTAATCTTTCTTTGCATTTTATTTCCTGTTTGTGGATTTATGTGGTATAGGGCTCTTTGTCCAATAGATTCAAGTGGGGATAAAAGAAGTCTCTTAGCAAGTTTTGAACCTGAGCAGGTCTGGGGCTTCCTCCAGCTGAGTCCAGAACAGGATTCAGAGGAGAGCTTAGGAACTTTGAAGGAGTGAAAGCAGACCCAGCAGAGCGGGCCTGAGCTGTGTGAAGACCCTCGATTGCGCTGGAGAGCCAAATGAGCCTTTTTAGACTCTGGATGCTTCGTCCACGATCGTGCATCAGCTGGTGTTCGGTCACTGCTCGACGACTGCAGGGAAGCCAAATACAAGTCAGTGCACTGCCTCATGATTCAAAAAATATTTTCAGAAACAAATCAGTTCCACTCAAACATACAGTTTCTTTGGAATTATGTATCTGGAAATATACAAAATCTACTTAAAATGGTATTTCAGAAGTGGAAACATACATAAACACAGTGCAAACCTGTTGTGCATTCAAAAATATATATATATAAAAAAAAACAAATATCAAAAAGGACAAATCTGTAACTGAAAACTACATGCTCATTTAAAATGCTTATATAGAACATTCTGAAAAGAAATGTCAGGTGAAAGAAAACAATCAGGTGAAGGAGATTCATCTACAAACGTACGAACATCTTTTTCTAGAAAATGTGGAGGATAACTCCTAAAGTTACATTTCAATAGATCTTGTTTTTTTATTCTGATGACACCATGTTACATATAGGATATAATGATGTGTGATGTTAAACTGTTCTTTGATATACATCTTTATTTCTTCTCAAATCACGCAAGAATTTGTTTATGCCCTAAAAAGAGTAGAAACCCAATGGTGCCTATTTAAAGATAAAAAGGTTACGCATTAATGGATCACAACATTGATTTACATCCCCATAAAAGAAAAAAAAAACAAGAACAGATTTTCGAAAAATACATTTAGTGAAAATAACTTCAAATGTCATCTTATTATTGTTTTAACAACATATTTGTGTAATCTCCCTCCAGAAAACATGCATTTATCAGCATAGAAGCATAAAGGAGATTTGATAAGCTCACCTTTCATTCTGTTGGCTATGGCTGGTATGAAAGATGACAAGAGCCATCACAGCGAAAACAAGCACAGTACGGTGGGAGATCTGCATTTTCTGAATGATTAGAAAAATCAGAAAAAAAATCAGAATCAGAAGAAATAAACATACGATAAAAAGCAGGAGAAATATATCTGAAATGCAGAATACAAACTGCCAAACTAACTATATGTTAATAAGAAAAGTATATTCCTTCAGGTTATTATTACAAAGCAAAACGTATTTGCTTTAAATCTTCACCATTGACCTTTCATAAAGATCACAGTTGAAAAAAAGAATCTACGTATTTTACTAAAGAAATTACAGCAACTGCGTCATTAAAAATCGCTACAACACTAAATCCTGCATAAATAATTTGAGATGATCAATTTTACATCCTTGTACAGTCTTTGATAAAAGAAAACATTGTTTGGACAGATTCTAAGACAGTTTACCTAAACTAAACTGAGACGTTTTCTTGGCTGAAATGAAATAATTCCTAATTCTGTCCTTCAGCTGAAATCTGGATTATCTGAAGACACGCTGGTCTATCTTTACCATATTAAGTTTAAATGCAGAATACCAAACAATATTGCATATCATACTTGTATTATTTACTTATTTGTCAAAAATCCCCTTTAAACATGATAATTTAACCAACAATGAATGCAGTTTCAGAGGCTTACTTTCAATTTAATCATGTTTACCTCTTTTTAAAAAATATAGTCTCATACACTTTAAGAATAAACAAACATTCAAAATCAATAAATGTAAAGGCTGGATGGACAAACATTAATTATAGGTACTTACATTTCCTCTGTCAAAGTGAAAACACCTCTTCTGATGTAAAAGCTCTTAACTGAGATCTGAGTCGACCCTCCAGACCTTTTATAAAGCCCTCTGACATACACATACATAGACACACATTCATTTAGCCCACCCACACAATAAATGGCCTTAAATTGAAAATAGGACACTTGATTTGAAAAATGAAAAAAAAAAAAAAAAAAAAAACACGCCAGTAGCATCATCTCTGACATGTGACTTTTGTGCGGACAGATAACACGTCAAATCCTTTTAGGCTTATTTGCGTTACCATAATCCCAAACAGACCCCTGTTCCTCAGTGCCTTGGCTCACTGGCATGTGTTCTTTATTTAATCAGGTGCTTTGGAAAGAATAATCGAATTAAATTGAGGGATCAGGATTCCTCTATTTTGTGGCCTAATCCTTCAAATTCCTTTTTGTTAGAGACCTTGGCACCTGCGGAAAAAAAGACAAATTTAGCGAAGGGTTGAATGGCTTTATTGATCTGTTGGACAAAGCCTCTGAATGAGTCAGAGCAGAAGCGCTCATCCTCTGCAAAGTGTGTGATGCTTCAGGTCTAAACTTTTCCAAACAGTCTGTAGTTAAAATGTTTGTCACCTGGAGCTCTCCACCAACTCCTTGACTTCTTCACCGACCCCAACATTTAATGAACCTAAATGGACCAAAGTCTGTGGTTGCCATGGCACATTCGCAGCCACCAATAGAAACACAGTCGTCCTGACAACATCTTCC